TTCTAAACTTTTAGAGATAACTATGTGAAATTTGGTAAAAATGCTAAACTTTTTACACTCTATTTAATGGATTAAACACCAGTTTTTGATAATCTTCATAAGTGGGTAAATTAGGGGAGGGGCTTAGGGTTAAATTGTCCTAAGTTTTTTTGTTGACTGTTTTTAACATTTATGACTACAAAATTTGGAAAATCAATATTTTATTGAATCTCGCTAGGACGCACCATTTTCAAGAGAAAAGAATTTTAAAATTTCATGATAAGTTGATGTTATCTTATTCGAAAGTGTAAACAATAATTAGTAGGCCTGTGGAATAAGAAATTTTATTTTCTTATAACTTTGGAAAACCGATGACTAAAGAAATTTTAGAAAATATTTACAAAAATGTGACATTAGGACTTCACTTGTAACATCCTGTATCTCGAAAACGAAACGTTTTCGGACCTATGTTTATATGAACTTTTACTTTTATTTTAGGATGTAGATTACACTGTTAAAATAAGACCGTCTAATTTCGGGACACCCTGTATAGATATACAGGGCATTCCTTAATGACATGCTAATATTTAAGTGGGCCTATTTTAAAGAAAAAACTTCATATGCATGTATGAGTCCAGACCCAAAATCAAAAAAATAACAACAACTTACTTTAAGGTTTATATGGACCCCCGGAAAAAGTATCTACACGTTCAAAATTTTTGAAAAAATGTGTGAATGTATATACAACCTTAAGTATTATTTTACCAAAATTTGATCCAGTTTGTATCATTTGTTCTCAAAAAAAATCGGAAAATTTACTTTTTTACAAGTATAAAACAGAGAAACTAGACTATCAAGAGAGATCATTATTTCATAAAATAAATTAGTTTTGGTTAAGAAACTTACATACATTTTTTGAAAATTTTTGAACTTGCAGAAATGACGTAATTGAACAATATATTTATTTTATTACCAAAAATTAGATTTAAACTATAAAAATGAATGTAATATTAAAGAATATACCTTCAATAATTATATTTAAAGACATTGACCTCAAAACATTAATAAGTTTTTTATAAATTTAGTGAAAAATTCAATTAAACAATAACACTATTTTGAATTTCCTCTTTCAAAGTCTCATCTCTGAGAGGTGCTGCCATCTCAATTGGTACTTTCTAAAATTGCTCACAGAGAGCACTAAATTTCCTACTCAAACAGAAATTTCGGATGTCCGCGTACACCAACGCTACCGTGTTGCCAGATCGAGTTGTATTACTAAGTTCGCTGAATTAAATAAATAGTTTTCTATTAATAATTCGGTCGATGCAAACGTACCTATTCATTTTACAGAATATTTGAATTATTTAATTATTAAATGAAAGGTACATTCTGAATAATGCATGTGTTTTATCAATTAAAAAAGTTGAACAGATGTTTACCAAATATCAGTATCATGTTAATTGCATGTTGATTAGTTTTTGGTAGAAATTGGATCGTAGCACGATATTTAAGAAGGTTGGCAAGTAAAAAAAAACGGATTTTGAAATTAAAACAACAGGTATTTAGTAATGACATTTTTTCTGTTAAAAAATATAAATTCGTAAAAATCTGATTGGCTCAAAAACCATATTACCTTAATAGGTATTTCATATTTTTTTTAACTAAAAAAAAAACTATTTCTATTATAAATAAATTTATTAAATATACCTTTTAAAAATTCTTATTGATCCTACAAAAAATAAATCATTGCTAAACATTTACTTAGTAAAAATAGTTATGGTTTTCCTAAGAAACAATTTTTTTCCATCAGCAGTAGTAGAACAAAAGTATTTAACATGTTTTTGTGCATTTAATAGTGTAAATTCTCGAGCTGAGTATATAAAAACACTTTACTCAAAAATTTTTAGCATCATCTACCAATCCATCCGGTGAAGTTCCTAAGAAACGATAACATTTTTCTTAAAAGATGAATAAACCACATTCAACAACTGTATTCTTTGTAATAGAAGCATATGTTTCAATTGCAACAGTTTCGTTAAGTTTAACATCTATATCTGTAACGTGTGGAGGGTAGGTTAACCCACGGCACTTAGGCCTTACTAAACCCATTTTGCATCTTCCTAAATAGATCGGCACCTCCTAGATCGTGAGCCAGCCTACAGATTTAATGTAGTTGACAATATTACCAAGAGGTGCATTTCTTATATCAACGAATACAAATCATTTAATAAATGTGAGCATCGATCACTTGTAGACGATATACTCGATGATATCATCTTTTTGTTTGCACCCTTTGCAGAGTGCGGATTCTGCCAGCCCCATGACATGGAGATGATTCCCTACTTGGCAGTGACCCGTCAGAATGCCTGTGATCAGGCATCTAGTGATAGTCCAGTATTTGTTTGCTGTAGTGTTGTCAGGATAACATGAAAGGTCCCTGCAGTTTCTTGTTTTATTCAATATTTCCTTGAACTTCACAAGGGAATATTCTTTAATTAGGTCTGTCACTACCGATTTTGTCAGGCCAATAGTAGGGTCAGGTCCAAAAAGTATTTGGTTGGCTGCCTGCTTGGCTAGTGAATCAGCAAGACAATTACCTTTCAATGTGACGTGACCTTTGATCCATCTTAAGTTAAACACATTATTAATGGATACTTCGGCCAGAGCTTCATGACATTCTAGTACCAACCCTGAGTAAATTCGTGGTATGTCCAGGGGAAGTACAGCATGTCTGCTATCTGTATAGATGGCATGTTCCTTCCAGTGATATTGTTTCTTGTGATTTCTTTTGCTGCTATGAGAAATCCCATGAGCTCGGTTTGAACTACACTGGCATTACTGCTCACAGCCCATTTTAGGTTTAGGTTTAAAGATGTGAAGTATATTCCACATCCTAAGCCTTGTTTTGTTTTAGAACCGTTGTTGTAGGTATGAATCGTACCTGCCTCTTCCGACTCTTCGATTTTTGTTATAACTTTAATATTATTGTCACGCTTCGTATAAATTCACATTTTTTCAAATTTTAATTATTTATTTAAATTACACCCTGTACATAAAAGTTTGTTTAATTATTTCGTTATGACCACTCTTCTTGTTTTTTTTTTAATGAAACACCCTATATATTAGTAAGACAATAACTCAAAATCAATCCCATATAAATTAATTTTATTAAGTTAAATGTTTTGGCCTTAGGACATCATCAGGTCTAAAAATTAAGTGATAAGCGCTAACAAAACACTACTAGGACGTCTCCATAAAAAGGTTAAAAAAATACACGTGCATGATTAAAACCGAGCCCCAACAAGGGTAAGGTAGTTGTAAGAAATATCATATGTGGGACATGTTGATAAATGTGAGAATATGGCGATAAGTAGTGTTAGCCTATAAGTTTCTTTATGCAAATCTTTTTCAACTTATACAATTTCTATCATATTTCCCACATATGGTATCTCTTACAACTGCCTTTTTAATCATAAACGTGTATTATTTTTAAATATTTTATGGAGACGTCATTTTATATTGTAAGCGCTTATTACTTTATTTTTAGACCTGATGATGGCCTAATCCCGAAACCGGTTGTCATTTAACTTCCTAAAATTAAAACTTCCTAAAATTAAATTACGTGGGATTGATTTTGAGTCATTTTTTTACCTTTAAGGTACATATTGGTTAGTTACTCTGTATACTATCACATTTTTCTACTCTTTTATACTATTCGATTTCAAAAATGTATACCTGAGGTGTACATTGAATCGTCTGGAAGTTGCATTTCTTGAGCTTTTGTTTACGTTCTTTCTTTTTTTTCCTTTCTGTCTATTTTTTTTCTTTCTCTCCTCACATTTAAAATTATGGATAATTTTCATTGAAATTATTTAATATTCATTTAATTATTAAATAGTACCCAACCATAGCGCGCGAACGTATCCTCCAGTCAGTTTTTTTTTATTTCAATTTTTTGACTGCGCGAACTGAGTCCATTCGCCAAACCACATAGATTATATTGTTCTAATTTTATACCATATTTTAAGGATAATGCGCTCACCCTAAATAATTTTATTTCAGTAAAGTTCATAGTTGAGAATGATTGAGCGGACCAGTGGAAGACTTAACAAAAGGTCATATCCATCTCTTAGCTGGATCGCTTGGGCCGTCCGCGCTCAACACCCCACCTCCCGCGGCTTACAACATAAACAAATAAAACATAATTATATTGAAGTTTGGCAACGTTCTTCGCATCGAATCATAAAGATCTCCCGCGTAATCTATTATTGTGCTAGCAGTCTCTTTTGGCGGCGATATAAACTAACGAAATATTATTCTATCACAGATAGAACCCTGTAACTTTAATAAATTGTATACTAAATTTGATTCGACAGGTAGAGCCATCTCTAGAGTCAGAAACGAGTGAGGAGGTGGGTCCATATAAACCTTAAGCCAACAAGTATTGCTTTGACATTGACGTTTGTAAATGTAATTTGTTCCAGGATAACTATATTTATGTGTTGCGATAGGAAGAAATTTTAAGAAGGGTGCACGGGTGCGAAAGTATGCCTATTAAGTGGCCATTTCCAACAATTTTTATAATCATTGTTCGTACTGTTAATAATTAATAATTAAATGTTAGTATTGGTAATAAGTAATAGTTAATAAATTTAAGCCGTTCATGTGAACATTCTGAAATCCCCGCTAAAATTCTAATATTATAATTGAAGGGGTAAGAATAGAAAGGGTATAAGTGCATTTTTTTTAAATTAGGTGATAAGTGCGTTTTGTAAAAGATGAGACTGCGATGTATTGGAATAAAAAGGATTTAAGTAATTTTCAATACTCCTAGCGACATCTGTTATCCAGTGGAAAAATCAAGTGAATAAACGTGCATATTTGTTTAGAATAAGGGTACAAATGCACTTGTACCCATTTTATTCCAACCAGTTTGTTGTAACAAGTGCACGTACTCAAACTGAAGTTTGTTTTGCAAAAGTTTTTGTTTGTTTCGTTCACTGATCTTTTGTTAATTAGTTATGGAAAGTGGTGAAGGTAAGTTCCCATGTCATATGACAATAAATATCTATTACAATTTATAATTACCAAAAATCTGATCACTGCAATGTTTAAAAAGATAAAGTAGGGTTATGATAATATACGGTTATTTTTATTACTTTTCTGTATCAATAAATTATTGTATTGTTTACGCTAAACACTTGAAATTAAGCTTGTTATTAGAATAACTCATTGTACCGCCAATTTATTGAACTTATTTCTATACTTTGTCAACTTCAGATACTGAAGAAGATGAAAATAGTAATGGCAGTGTTTCCAGCAGCACCCATTCAGATACACGCGATGATGCCCATGTTACGACAGTCAAAGCTAGAAAAAGACAGAAACGTCCATCTGAATGGAAGATTAACCAACGGAAACGCCTTAGAACTCAAGGTAAAGAGTATTTATCTAATAACAAGGTACGTCAAAGCAAATTATTGCAACCATATCAACATAGCTATCGATATAAATGTAACATGAACATAAATGAAGAACAGAGACAAGAACTTTTTACAGGCTACTACAATCTACCTTCGTATGACCTTCAGACCATATTTATCGTCATGCATTAAAAAAAGTGAATGTCAGTAGAAAAAAAAACAAACAGCAATATAGAACGAAAATTCAGCACCAATATTTTTTTGCTAAACAAGCGTGTTTGCAAACAATTTTTTTAAAGACCATTCAATATCTCAAATAAAAGATTTACTACTGTTTGCTTCAAGACAAATCACCTTGGTGTAGCAGAACCTGATAAAACAGGGAAGGGACAAACTCATAGAAGAATGAGTCATGAGCGCCGAGCTTTTGTAATTAGCCATATAAAAAAATTTCCGAGATACCGAAGTCACTATTCCCGGAAAGAAAATGCTCAAACAAAGTACCTGTCGCCTGATTTAAATCATGTAGATCATGTACAACCTATATAAAGCTACCTGCGATGAAGAGAACCAAATACTCGTGAAGATATCGTATTATCGGAACATATTTTGTACTGAATTCAACCTACAATTTCATCGACAACATTCAGACACTTGTTCCCGTGGTGACTCTTATCAAAATATTATAAAATACTCAACAGATGAACCTAAAGTCGCAGAGAGCAAAGTTCAGCTAGCAGTCCATCAAAGACGAGCTGAAAAAGCAGTGACTGAAGAAAAACGACATCGAAAAGCATAGATTTACGGGAGATACAGTGGTTGTATGCTTTGATCTTCAACAGTCTTTGCCAACGCCACTTTTAACAACTTAGAAAGTGTTTTATTTAAGACAGTTATGGACATATAATTTTTGCATATACGATTTAATAAACAATGAAGCTAATATGTATGTTTGGTCTGAGGACGTAGCTTCAAGGGGTTCTCAGGAAATTGGATCCTGCTTATTCAGGTTTATCCCTTTCACCTAATGTAAAAATAATGATCGCCTATTGCGATTCGTGCGGGGGTCAAAACAAGAACAAGAACATAAGAAAACTTTTTATGTTTTTGGTGAAAGCCACACAACTTGAAGAAATTGACCATAAATTTTTAGAATACATATAAGAAGTGCGGCAGGTCCTTTGGACTGATAGAAAAATGTAAAATGAAATTCCCGCAAGTATTTGTACCACAGGACTGGAGTAATGTAATAAGATCAGCTTCCAAACGCTTTAAAGTACATGATATAACCAAGGAACATTTTTATTCATTTCCTCATCTTAATTACATCATAAGCGACCCCAAAAAAATGAGATTTAGGCAGATTTATCACTTCAAATATACAAAATATTCGGAATCATATTCTTTTGAGTTTAAGCTCACAATAGATGATGATTTCCCCTTTTTGACATGCCACTGTCCTTTTTTGGGTAATGGTCGACCACCCACCGATTTGCAGAAAATATTCTGCTCCATGTTAAACGAAAATCCTGTCTCTATTTCGGTAAAAAAGTGGAAAAATTTACAGACATTGTTAGAGTATGTACCACCAGTATATCACAGCTTCTATAAAAATCTCAAAAAAGGATGAAAAAATTATAGCACCAAGGGCAAGAAAACGAAAAATAAAACTTCCAAAACTACTGTTTTGAGTGCGTCGACGTCAAAAAAGACACAAAATATTGTTTTAAGTGACTCTGATTCCGACTCTGATCAAGACGTGGATGAAATGCTTCTGACCTCTGATTCCGACAGTAATGAATAGGAATCTTATTATTGTATCTTTTCTCACTTTGTGAATAAAGTTTGCTTTTTAAACCAGCATTTACTTTATTTTTTACTTTACAAGGCAAATTTTTTGGAATAAGAAGGGTATAAGTCCTCTTTTTTTCAAAAATTAGATGTGGATTTAAACACAAACTTTAGAACTAAAATCCAACTATTTTTTAATTAATTAAAATGATGCAAAACATTACTACAAAAAATTACTGACTTTTTTATAGTAACATAACTTTAACTTCAAATATTTCCAAACAATGAAAATGTTACTTATGCCCTTTTTATTCTAACCCCTTCAATTATTATTGGCCCTTGACTTTGTTTAATTTTTTCCTAAAGTAAAATAAGTTACTTACTTCTGAATTAATTAAGATTTGAAATAAAATGAACTCAATAGCTTGAAAAAAGAAAAAAAAGTGATTTCTACACAACAGTCATCGCATTTAACGATTTGACCATGAAGTAAAACGATTTTTATTTTTTTAAGCGAAAACCATGTGTCGGGCGAAATAAAATCAGAAGTTCAAATTTGATCAGAAAATATTCAATGTGAAATCCGTACGGACACCACTGCTAAAAATAATAAAATTTTGTTTTTACATTAGAAAATGCATCTTGATTCATAGAAGACGTGTGCTAAATTTCATAATGATATCTACAATAGTATCACAGTTATTATAAAAAAACTATTTTTTTTTTTTTTGAAAATTTTACTTTATCTCTCAAAAGTTAGGAGGTTTAGGACATACGTCCATATGAAATTTTTTCCTTAAAATGGGCCCAACAATCACTTCCTTAAATATTAGCATGTCATTAAGGAACACCCTGGATACTGTTAATCTGCACCCTGTAGTAGCGGCTGTTATAATAAATGTGCGAATAAAAGAAAAAATGCATAGTCATTTATCATCCCACAGTGTGCTGGGTAAGAAAAGTCGATTTTTTTTAAAGATTCAAATTTTGAAAAAGTGTCTCCAGTGGAGCACAGATTTAACCTTTACCTACACGCACATATTTTTTCTTTCATAATAAGTCAAAAATAAACTATAAAAGTGGGGTACTACGAGACCCTTGCATGCTCTACTCTAAAACGAAGTAAATACTCCTCTTCAACATGATAGTACGGTAAATTATAGTACGTAACTCTAGTTATAAAGCAATATCGCATTTGGGAATTTATACACTCACCTCCATGTGCCTGACATGTTTCTTACAACTCTTGTTACATATTAAAACTCTCGGTCATTTACCCTTAATCGCAAGTAATGTAGTCAAATCACAATCACACGGTCCATTGGTATAAGGTATATTATTTCTGCTATATCTTACTTCGTACTTTGTAGTAATATATTTATGAGTGACATAAATTAGTTGGAGCGCAATTTTAACACAAACGTTTTTGTAAGTTTCTTTGTAATGTCTATGCGTTTGCTTGCTTTTTAATGTCAAAACATTGATGCGAAATGTTTCATGGGTATTAAACGGACAATAAACTCTTTTTCCGACAGTGTGTCGGGAAGTTACGAGAAAATCTGAAAATCTAATTTCGTGGGTGGCTGGCCCACTTTTGTAGACAAAGTAGTTCTACTTATTATTAAATTAGAACATAGTTTTATTGCTAAAGTTTATCCGTAGAAAAAAATTTAAATTTGTACAAGTGCAAGTCGTACTTGTGTGATAATGTTCTGAACCGCTTTGCTTTAAAAATAAATATACTTATACTAAAGGGAAGTAAAAGGCTCAAAGTCTGTCGACCACATAAATTTATTAGGTTGGGTTGCAAGCGCTTTCGACCTAAAAGGTCATCATCAGGCAAAAAAATTTTTGTAAGTGAGTAGGTAGGTAGGTAGGTACAATCTGCAATGATAATTTAGGATAACAAAACGTTTTTATAGAAATGTTAGGTGTCTTACCACTATGTGTCCACAGAAAAAATTAAGTATGTTGAATTAAAAATTTTTAAATTGTAAAAATTGTTGTAAAAAATTGTAAAAATTGGCACGTACTGCCTCCCTCATTCGAGGTTGGATACTGTTCAATCTTGAACCTCGCCTGCCTCTATCTAATGAAGGTGGTTTCGAAAGAGATCAATTTTAAAGTTCCACATGTGTGCTTAAGGCACCATGTGGAAAGTGTTACTTTTGGGGAAATACCGCTACTCCCCCTATCCCCAGTACAAATGGGGTAGACGGAGTTCGGTTTGTGTACACCCTTAAGCCTAAGCTTATGTTAAATTAGTTTTGTGACAAATTTTATAGTATAAATTTAAACAATTTGACAGGATGTCCAAGACTTTGGAGAGGCCACAAATAAATTCTGCTGGTGTTATGAAGTTAGAGTGACATTTGATTTTTAAAAAAGAAGAATTTGACATTAGACATTAGATTGAGGTTAAGGAAATTTATAATAAATATGAATTTTTTGAAAAAAGGGGCTATTATATATATTATTACAAGTAAAAAGTTGAAGGATTTACAAAGGATTTAGGAAACTAGTGAGGTTGATGGGATTCATTGTAGTTGTTGAATTGAAAATACTAGAAGGTTAATCTGGAAAAGATAGGCTTATATGTAGGTTGTAATTGATCATTTAAACAAACCACATCTGGGTTATTAATATGTTGATGAATGTAATACATTTCAAGTAAGTCCAGCTTAATGCCTTTGGGACATTGGATAAGAAGAGAGGCGTTATCTGGAAAAGTAAAGTTATGTTTAGTATAGAGAACATGATTAGCAAATGCCGAATTGGTATCTGAAATATTCGAGGATTTATATCTGTTGATGGTTTTGTAATGTTCTAAAATTCGGGTTTCTGTCTTTCTTCCTGACTGGCCGACGTAGATGGCATTGCAATCATTACAATTCAGTAGATCCAACCTCGAATGAGGGAGGCAGTACGTGCCAATTTTTACAATTTTTTACAACAATTTTTATAATTTAAAAATTTTTAATTCAACATACTTAATTTTTTCTGTGGACACATAGTGGTAAGACACCTAACATTTCTATAAAAACGTTTTGTTATCCTAAATTATTATTGCAGATTGTACCTACCTACCTACTCACTTCCAAAAAAATTTTTTGCCTGATGATGACCTTTTAGGTCGAAAGCGCTTGCAACCCAACCTAATAAATTTATGTGGTCGACAGACTTTGAGCCTTTTACTTCCCTTTACTCTACTTCGGACCACTTTGAGATATGGATAATATTTGGAATTTATACTTATACTGTTCAGCGAGTTCAAATGTGCTGACGGTATATGTCGCTAATTTAGGACAGCGGTAAGGGCCATTTGTCAAACCCTCTGGCTAACAAACCTGGACAGGGATTCTTATGTGCGAACACAACACGTAACGAATCGAACATAATAATTGCATTATGTGAAATGAAAATAGGCATCTCAACACGTGCCATATTGAAAGATGAGAATCCCAATGCTGATCTACGGCCAACTAATTGACCGAAAGTCAACTATCTGTTTCTATTGTCAATTTCCTTTTTTATATCAAAACTATGAAGACTAGATAGAAGGAGGCGAATCGACATACACGAAATACTGTCCCAAAAAACGAACGCTAATTGAGCTTTTTTAATTCACCGCAGGTACACTGGTGCTAGTAGCGCCGTTCAAAATAGATGGCTAATTTACATAATTTGTCAAAATAATAAAAATAAACTTATTTATTGCCAAATAAAGCACAGAATATAATGTATTTATTTCTAAATAAGTCTCGCATGTTTTAATTGATAAATTATTTAATTTTATCTATATAAAATACAAATTAAGTAGGCTTGACTAATATCGAAAAGATTTGTTAAATGGTGAAATTTGGTAAGTACAATTTTGTATCTAAATTTTTTTGAATTATACTTAAATATAGTTTTAAGAGCAAAATTAAACACAGTTAACATATTTTTTATTGTTATAATACAAGCTTAAAGGAGATTTGAGAATGTACATGACATTACCTCATCCTTTTATTTTGGCTTTCCCCTTTTTATTTTGCTAACAGTACCATCAGTAAAAAGAGTTTCATAATATTTGGAAATATTTATTAGAAAGTGTAGAACAGCATCATCTCTAGAAAGTGCTTTATCGGCATTAGGAACGATATATATGCTGCCACTGTTCTAAGCGTTTAGGATCCTATAAAAAACAAAATTTCAAAAAAAATTTGTTGCCAAGTATTTTCGAATGAATTTAGGGTAATTCAGCTCTGCTGAATTAAAATATAGAAGCAGTTTTTCTAAATTGGTTCTTGTTTTTGAGATACCATCATTTTTTAAGATATTTAGCCAAAACAGATGCTTTTTATTTTTTAAGAATTGACAAATAACACATTTTGCGCAGAAACGAGAGTTCGACCCTGTCTAATCACGTACTTACTGTTGACCACGTGATCAATGCGTGCAATTGTTTGTCTACTGTCTCTTGATTTTAACTTTAATTGTGTCAGTTCAGCGCAAGCAGTTATACTAAGGGCTTAGCGTCGCGGTTATTGTGCTTTTCTTACCTATTTTGTGTATTTATTTCGTATTACCTACCTAGTGAAGTTATTTAAATGTAAAAGAGGTCAGGTAAAAGGTAGAAACATGTGACGCATATTTGTATATATTTTAATAAAAACAAAGTTACGCTTGTTTTTCAGAGGAATGAGTTATTCACGAAGAAGCTGCTTGAATAACGCCAATGTCTTCTGCTACATTTGTGGTGAATATACTATAGAGAAGCAAAGAAAAAATGTCTCATATTTTGTTAGGCAAGCTTATTAAGGCTATTTTGGCGTAGTGCTTGGAGATCAAGACAAGTCCTGGGCTCCCCATATAGTGTGCAAAACATATGTCGAATCTTTACGACAATGGACAAACCAAAAGAGAAAAAGTTTTAAATTTGGAGTGCCCATGGTGTGGAGAGAACCCAAAAACCACCACGTTGATTGTTATTTTTGTTTAGTTAATGTAAAAGGTTTTAACAGATACAAGAAAGGCAAATGGGAATATCCTTATTTAGAATCAGCACGAAGACCTGTGCCACTTATCGAAGATATTCCCGTACCAGTTTGTACCACATTGCCAGATGGTTCGATTTTAAAAGTAGAAGAAATTGAGGACCAGTACAGTAACAGCAGTGAAAGTGAATATGAGGGAATACAATCAACACCCCAGCAGTTCTCCCAAGAAGAACTGAATGACCTGATACGGGACCTCGGTCTGTCAAAACAAGCATCTGAACTTCTAGCATCCAGGTTAAAAGAAAAATACTGTCTACAGCCAGATATAAAAACAATTTATAGAACACGAGAGGTTAAACTTGTTCCTTACTTCAGTCAAGATAAAGATCTTGTTTATTGCAACAATATTCCCGGATTTCTTTGTCAAATGAGAAATCCATTTGTTCCAAGTGACTGGCGACTATTCATAGACAGTTCCAGTGGAAGCTTAAAGTGTGTTTTGCTACACAATGGCAACCGATATGCTTCAATTCCTATCGCCCACTCAACAAAACTTAAATAAGAATATCAAAACATTAAGTTAGTATTGCTAGAAACTCTCCTATGGAGAGCATCAGTTTTCCATTTGTGTGGATCTAAAAATGGTGAATTTCTTGCTTGGCCAGCAAGGTGGGTACACGAAACACCGTTACTTTATCTGCTTGTGGGATAGTAGGGCGAAGCAAGATCATTGGAAGAGGATCAATTGACCAAAATATGATTGTAGGAACAGCAAATGTCATAAACGAACCATCGGTTGACCGTGAAAAAATCATTCTCTCACCGCTCCACATCAAGTTAGGACTAATGAAACAATTTGTTAAAGCTTTGAATTAAAATGGTCATCCATTTTTACAAATGTGGCATATCCTGACATTCTATGACGCGTTGTTTTTGAAAGAAAGTCTACTAATGGCATTTAAATGTTAAAAGTCACATAAAAGTGACATTTACGCTATGATAGACGATTTCGTTTTCCCACATAACAGGATAACCTTTTTCCTTTCTTCTCTCTACTTCTATGGTCGCAACCCCCTTATTATATACCGGCCCTTCTGATTGGCCAAAAATGACAGGTTTTAAATTTTTCAGTGTCCATTTGTGATCGACCTTGTATAGGAAATCACCGAGAATTTATTGGGCCGGTGGTCGCCTAGTCCATCCAGATCAGTTACGGAAAGCGATCGATTCTCGATGTGTAACTAGTTATAACGGTAAACCGCCGGTTAAGCTGTAATAAATGTGTTGCGTTACTGACAAGTAACTGGGCACCCCGTCGCGATATCAACAATCAAAGTGAATATCAACGAGCTATCAGACAATCGATTGACGACGTATCTTGGGCGGCCGCTGCCGTGTCAACAATTGTTAGCCACCCACGTCCCACACACAATTTTAATAGGTAAATTTTCATTTGTAGTTTGAATACGAGTTTCGTTTGTTCGAGTATATGGACAGGTTTGTGTCAATCTGACATATCTGACACAACAACTTTGTTTTATAACAAATAAATACAATAATATTTGAGGAGGGTATACAAACAAAACGTGCTAATTTGAATTTCTTTTATTGATGTTTTTGGCAGTTATTTACATGTATTTTATATATTCATATGAATCTATTTATTAGCCCTGTTTTTTCACGACAACAGCAGTAGTTACAAATGAGTCATTTATCAACAATATTGGAATTTCAGTACAACAAGAAATTTACCGTGCAATTTATGGAATTTTTTCGATCGCTCGATGCGGTGCTTTGCATATGTGTCACTGGATTTTTTCCCGAAGGTAATAAATATAATTTATTGTTGGTGCAATGGGAGATCCCTGGCGCTGAACGGGTACACCGTATTTGGGAAGACTGGTCTCTTGTCTTGTCTCAAGTCGGAGATGGGCACATGTTGTATCTTATGGCGACCCACGCTGATGCCTCGCAGTCAAAAGATGCTGCTAATATGGCGGATTATTTCGGGTAGAAACGCACAGGTTCGTAGATCGAAGTAAGCGTGCATGGGTTTGAAATTAAATTCAACACAATGGATACATTGAATGATGTAAAAGATTTTCTCGCCACCGAGAAAACAAATCTTAATAGTGATGCCTAAAACAACGAAAATACTCGAGCGCCAGTCGGGCGCTAGTTTTATTAACGTGGTTTGCTTCACAGCCCTTTTATGCGCCTTCAAAGGGACTCTGGTAACATCAGATGGAGATAATGCAAGAGTAAAAATGTTCTTGACACAAATTTTAGAAGGCGACAATAGCAGGCTTTGTTACTGTTACAGTAAAGAAATTTCAGGTGCTTTAAAGGAATAAATTAGGGTTTTTTAGTAATTTTTTACCTATTTTCAAATCGTAAAATCAATGTTTTAAATTTTATCGAAAATAAGATCAATAATCGTTTAAAAATATGTATTTAAAAACATAACAAAAGTAACACAAATGTTTATTGAATGGTTTTTGAGTTTTGAACGATCTTTGTAAAAACTGAAGCCAAACCCCTTTAATACAAAAAATTATATTCTAAAAAAATTAACAGAAAATGCAATTCATGTAGAGTATTATATTATTATCAATAATATTAATTGAATAATTTGAAAATTCGGAAACAAACCTCTTAAATCAATGTCATGATCTAGCGCTAAAGGCAGTTGTGTACAGAATAAAGGTATCTAGCGCAGAATACCTTAAAAGTTGGTATTAATTCTTAGATGCCATGAATTGTGTATTAAAAAAATAAAATACATATTATATGTCAATATTTTTTAAATAAAACATAAAACATTATATTTTAATTATTGGCTGTCGTCAAAATCAGGAAGGAATGAGTCATCGTCTTCATTACTTTGACACTCTCTGACTGTGGGAGGCACAAAACATCTTTTGGTATGTTTTTCAGTTTCTTTTTAGGTTCATTTTTTTTAGTTGTCAAAAGTGGGTATAAACTCAATGAGAACAAATTAAAAATGTCTTCAGTGGATATTTTCCGGCCACATTTCCTGGCATTTTGTTCGCGGTAATTTTTGAAATCTTTGTTACGCGCCTTTTGTGCCTCTTTAGTTAGTTGGCCAATTGGCAACAATGCACTAGTATTAAAAACTTATGTAGTGTAGGAGGCATACAATACCAGCCATACAAATTAACGAAGTGCCTGGCAGTATCATGTGTATGATCGCGGAATCGCTCAATATAATGTGCATTGTTCTTATTAGTTCTACATCTAATTTGGTTATTTCTGCAGAAACTTCTGGATTAGAAAAAAAACCGCCTGGCAGTGTTGCCGTCATTAGAGTTTCCAAACCCGGGCTTAGGGAAGTCCATGATTAGTCCAATTTTTTCCCTAAATTTGGATTGGATACTTTTTTGTTTCTGCAACTATTACCTTATCTTTACCTCTAGCTTGCCACTTTTTGATTGGGAGTTTATAGGAAAGATGGAGACACTTAAAAAAACGTATCCAACCATGTAGGACAGATATATAAGTTTTGTGTTGTTATTTCTCATTTTGTCTATATCATTAAAATCTTTTATTGTTGTTCTGCAAATATAACACTTCTGTGTAGATGTTGTTTCGGTGAGAACATTGCAAATCTTGCTATATATCACCGCAAAAATCATATTGTGACTAACTGAAATAGATCTACCGTCTAAGTTCAATTTACTGTTTTGCAACTGATGTATTTCAGTATCTACACGATTTGTTCTGCGACAGAAACTTCTGATGATGCTTTTATGAAAGTACCTCGTAAAAGACGGGCGAAGGTTCTGCCAAACTATTTTCGAGTTATTGCTATCTGGGGTCACACACTAAACGAAGTGGTACGATGTTATAAATACAGATGAATCACACGCTTGGAATCCGTGAAACGCCTACTTATAGGAACTATGTCCTGAGCTGCCATCGAAGCCTCACTTTGTCATCAACTGTAGTGTTTCTAGTTGTTCGTTGCTTAATGATGATATACCGCTATTTTGCACACTTATTAAACGTTCCACAGTATGATTAAGAAGGTCCTGCAACAAGGCTTCTGCTACTTTAATAATATTTGGGTAACATTTTTTTTCTCAGCTTGTAATATTTTATATAAAGGAAATATGTTCGGATTATACTGTCTTATTAAGCTATATTGGTGCCTAGACAACTTAGCGTCTACTAGTAAAGCCAGGGCATCTTCACCAGACATCTTACGTGACCCTTTCTCAATTAAAGTTTTGTTGCTCGTCCGTTTTGGAGATGTTGAAGTTATATCTTTTAATAATTTGGAAGCCTCTGTATTTCCTGATGTTCTTAAACTCATCTGTGTGGCGAAACTTAGCTCGGCAATAGACTTATTTTTCCGCAGGTCTTCTGTTTTCTTTTGCGCTTAGTTCGCTCATTGCTCACTTCATAAAGGAACACTGTTGGACGTCCTCTCATAGTTGAGTTAGACTGCCTGTAGCGGTTGAAAGATATTAACGTGTCGAGCCAATTAATATTTCTTAAGAAACCTATTCCTAGATCTACCCACATTTAACCATCTAGACTCAAATTCTGACTTGAAGTGGTATATTTTTCTGTTTATATCATTCAAATCTGTATCAGGACAGCCTGTGCGTTCTTTAGGATAACTTGTTAAAAACTTGAATTGGTCGTCAATTTTACTCTTTCCAGAATGTGTTAAGATGTCGTATAGTTCCCTTCTTGATATTTTTGAAAGAGTAAAACCAAATTTGGTAGATTTTCACACTTTTATTTTAAAAATAAAAATTTTTAAAAAAACACTAACATGACATATGTTTCGAAGTACAACTTCTTTTTCAAATGTGACTATTTATAATTCGGTATCCAATATATATACGAAATAATTTAACAAAACAAAGTACTTAAGAAAACATCAATAACATTACAAAATAAACTAACTATTTAAAGTAAATAAGGGTACTTAGGTAATTATAATATCCATCAAATAACAATAAGATAGCCCATTACCGGGATTATCTCACAGAAAACTGGGAAAGAGATTTAATAAGGGTGAATTATTAATATCTAATTGATCATTTAGTAAGTTATCTGAATTTTTAAATCTATTTATTTCAAGTGTTTCTAAATGGTTTATTTAAGGCTCTTATTTTCTACATGTAAAATTTCAAAGTTGTCAGTAAAAGAATGATTTTCAACTAAAATATGATTTGAGTAAGTAGAATTATTTTTGTTTTTTGTATAGCTATTATAATGTTTGGAATAGCGTTTTTTGAAAGTACGGCCTGTTTGACCAATATACAATTTTGGACAACTACCACAATTTAATTTATATACCCCCGATTTATTATTAGGATTAATTTTACCCTTATTGTTTTTAATATACTTTCCAAGCGTATTATTGGTTTTAAAAGCTACGTTAATATTTTGGTTTTTTAAATATGATGATACCTTTTCACTAGGAGCTCCTATATATGTAAGACTCTTATATCTGCAATTTGGATCTTTAATTATGGGATAAACTTGTTGAATAGCCTGTTTAAAAAGTTTTTTCTCTAAAATGTTGTCTACTAACTCATCCATACAAACAAAAGCTGGCAGCATACAACAGTATGATCCATAGATTAGTTAATATTCCCCTTACCAAAGAGAACTTCACAAAAGAATTAAATATCATTAAACAAATCGCAGTAAATAATAATTTAATTCAAAGTAAACAAAACTACTCGATATGCCTCGATACGCAACTAAAACTCTACATATCTCTGCGAAACACAATATTTTTATGAAATATTACAGCTATGATTTCTAAGTGTTTTCATTTACCATAATTACAAATTTACTAAGTAATAATTTCTGACCTTTCGGATTTCGGTTTGCGATCTACAATATATTAAATTTACAATAATTTTGATATTACTAGTCTGACAAGTGTATTATTGGTTAAAGGAACATAGATTTGAAGCAGTTGATGTTTTGAACATAAATCCATGTTGCTGGATATGGATTCAATTTTTTATACATTGCTATCTCGAAAACTTTCACAGAACTTGAGGATATTGGTCTATATAAATCATGATTTCATTTTGTTAATCATTTTAAAAATAGGACATATTTTAAGGGGCACAATTGCAATAAATTAGAGAATATTTTTGGCTTAAGATTCACTTACACGGTTCGCAATTTTTCTTGTTAGCAAATAAAATATCCCCGCACAGTTTGCTTAATTTTAAATTTATATTTCTATTCGTTCATTTTCTTTTATTTAAACCTAATAAAATTATTTTAAAAAGCGTAATAATAATCGCTACTTCTTGTCGCTATCCATATAACCTGTCTACTGTCCCATTTAAGCAAGTACAGTACACTGAACTTCTATAAGTGCATGTGTAAACATTTGAAAAAAAAATGTTTGACTAAATAAATAGTGCACAGGGTACTTTTGTAAATACACATAAATATCATTGAAACTTTTGTGGGTTTTTAACTGGAAGTAGATAGGAGAGAGTTGGGTATTGACCAAAGTAGTGTTGATAGTAGCGACTTAAATGTTGATAGCGAGTACTTAAAAATTGTTAGTTTTCTTCGAATTGAATTAGTTATTTAGTTTGTTCAAAGTTAGTTACTTCTTTTAGATATCACATAAGAATTTTAAAATGTTTTAAGAGAAATCGGTATTTTTCTTAATAAAATAAACAGAAACCGTTGTGAACATGACGAAGGAGCGAATCTCAAAAATTCCAGTATTTAAGTTATGTCCATCAAAAGGCATTTTTAGAATTTGTAATATTTATATATGTTATATATTGGCATTGCCACAACTTTTTGGGTTATTAGTATTTTTTTAAATAACTTTTAAAATTAAACAAATCCAGATTGAAGTTAATACAAATCTTTAAACTGTAATTACTCAAATCTTGTAATTTTTAGATACGCCTGTTCGTTTTGTTAACGACGAAAACTTAATTCTTATGGTCGGGTTTTTAATTAAACCAAAAGAAATGAACTTTTAAAGAAAACGGGTCTAGAGATGGTACTGTTTAACAAACTTAAATATTTGATGATAAAGATTACCGTTTAATATATGTTGCTGATATATTTTTGATCAGGGGCGGTTTCTCCAGTTACATTTCATAAAAAAACATTTTTTTAAAATAAATAACATTAAAATATAAAATACATCAAATAATTCTCAAAGCCATAGTCACAACAATATATGTGCGGCCGTTTATCTTTCGACAACAACTACTCCTTTGGCTAATACCTCACCAGGTATTGAATTACGTCGGAAGAAAATAGCCCCTTTCCCCCCCCCCTTGTTATTAAAATATATATTCAATTTTAATGATTTTATTGTTTTCATACGCCACTACGCTTTGTCTAATCGCGTCTCCCTGCCGCACTTTTCTTAGTGAGCCCGAGGGAGCGAGATGTTTTTCCGAAAGCCTTTAGCTAAAAAGAGAGGTCAATACGTCAACAGATCCGAGAAACGTAGGAAACAAGCAATATGTCAGCCTAAAATCACTTAAATCACCTTAATTTGCGCAACGCATACAATGACGTTACACATACGAACTTTCGAATCATTGATATAAAATAAAGAGGAGATACTATGACGATACTAAAAGTGTCCGCACACTTTTACGTCATCTGTCAAATTCAAGCAAGTAGAGCAGGTTAGTTTTGGTGAGAACAAATACTATTTTTTTAATAGCATGATTTAAATAAGCCACACTCAACCTTTTTTCCTTCGGGCTACATTGCTATGCTACATGGGTCGCAATATTTTTGGATGAAGAACATATTTCAGTGCTTCCATTTAAAATTAGTTAGTGGAGACCTCTAATAATTTATCCTTGTTAGTTATAATATCTACAGGAATAAGCTAAATGTATTAATAAAAAAAGTAAATATAACTATTACAAAAACAAAATAAATTCTAACTCTGGAAATTTAAATAAATTATGGGAAGTGGTAAAAGAATACAGTAATAAACATAAAAAAGACCTAGTGATAAAGAAAATAGTAGAAGACGGTAATAAAATGATGAAATCGCTAAATCATTTAATAACTTTTTGCAAATATGGGGGAAAAGTTAGCATCCAAAATTGAACCTGTAAATTGCAAGCCAAAAACTGCCGAATTACACAAAGATCCATATTTTTTTTAAAGATACATCACCCAAAGAAGTAAAAGAGAAAATGTTAAATCTAAAACATAAAAAATCTCCAGGTAGCGATAACATTAAAAATGAAGCGCTAAAGACTATATATCGTCTCTACTATCTTATTTAATAAACAAAATGCTTTCTACTGGTCAAGTTCCTTCACAATTTAAAAATTCATTAATTAATCCAATCTTTAAAACG